AACATTCAGGTTTCCATGTCTCTTCTTCTAATTCTTTTTTATCATCTCAGACATCCGTATTCGTCACTGATCCATTAATGCATTTATATAGCACTGCAGAATTAAATGGTGTGTAAGTGCACCTTTTCGTGGTATATAAGCAACTATCTGTGACACAGGTAGGCTGAATTCAGCACCTTGGATAGCGACAGTTATCTGATTCAGGCCTTCCACATTTCCCATTTACTATTGACATAGCTTTCCAACTAAACTTAACAACATAATTTAATAAAGGAAATTAAACTAAGCGGAGGTTAATGTCATGTAGGTAAACAGGAAGAACCAACCTAACCCAATAGCCAAGTGCATTGATAATAGTAAGGAAAAATGTTCGTGTGAAATTTACCCCTGGATGAACGTCCACATCCGTTCCCTTCAAAACAAAACGGCCAGGAGCCCTGGACCGAGGCTGACAAAGCACCTCAAAACAGAAAGCAGCTCACCTTTGTAAATGAGATCCTCGGTCTCCAGGTCAAAGCCCTCGCGATGGCACTTTCTCCACAGACCGGAGATCGTGGAATTGAACTGGCGGCCACAGTGAGACTCCATGGCAGTCGCCGAAGCTGGAGCGTGCCGCTTCAGGCGTGTCTCCGTCGCTTTCCTCTCATAGCCCTTTGGAGGCATCTGGAGAGGCAAGTTGTGATTTGAGATGTAAATGTATCCGGGATCGTTACGCTTGTTTGCGTAGTTCTTACAGCGCTCGCGATGCCGCCGAGCATCCGTCTCGTACCAGTAATCGGTGCAGATGGCCATAGTCAACAAGACCAGTGCGCAAAACGCCAAGAAAAGCCCCGCGCTGGTTAAAATCTTAATGGCCGCCATCTTCTCCGCTCGTTGGAGAACCCAGACAGACGCGCGGTCCTCCCTCGGCAGCCTTTGTGAAAGGCGAAAACACACCGAATCCTTAGCAGATCTCGGAAGCTGACATGACCAGGCTCGACTCCAGCTCGATGCGGTCTATTGTTGCAGAGCGCCCGAACAGATGTGCTGCTTTCCCACCATCTGATCTGTTTTGCTTTTGAGTTGAGGAGAATGAGAGAGATGGGAAGAGGAGAGGCGATGCGAGGACCAGGACTGAGTGAGTGGTGCTTCGTGAGAGTGCAGTGCTCTCTCTTTCCTCTTGGGCCTCAGTGAACTGAGAAGACACCAATTAGGTGCCTCAGGAACACGAGGAGTAAGTGATAAACATGAGAGGGTCATTTATTGATCACTTATATCCATCAGTTGTTTACTGTAAAAATAATTAAAAAAAAAATGACATTTAGAAAATCCCCAAAAATCTTTTCCCCCACTTTATATAAAGTGTCAACTACTGTGTACTAAGATTTAATTTCATACAGTGCACTTATTGTGTAGATACATGTAAATGTACAAATACCTGTATGTAATTAGAGCTGGAATTTATTTTCTGTATTTATTTTATTTAATTTATGTTTTGCATGTTATGCATATTGCATGTTTTGCATATCTATATATATAT